TAAAATCTCATCTTCGTTTTAATGAAAATGAACAAGATGGAAATTGAAAGAAACACGCCTGTTTTCCACTGGTTTTAATCATTGACTATACGCACTACCAATAATACTTCTATCCGATTATTGAATAATCAATACTGTTTCGCTGATCAACACATTTCCAATACGATTCGAGTCCAATCCAGATGAAATTATTCAGATATACACGTGTGCGTTCGATCAATTTTCAACTTTGACTTTTCTCTCGCTCTCGCAGTTTTATTTTCTTCCTATCTTGAAACCATATCTTTCTGGTCCCATTTGTACCATGAATTATGGACAACTCGATATATATATATATATATATATATATCTATCCATCTCCCTTTTCCACTCGGAAATCTCATAATCCATCCCAAGCATTTCTTATATTTTCCATTTCTAACGCAATTCCACGGAACACACGGTGAACGAGTGGATGTAAAGTGAAACACGAGAAATCCTCTTATGCAAGAGGTAGGATATGATTCACAACTCAAACATTACAGCTACAATTTTAACCTTCTCCTCTGGTTGTGCAACGAAGCGTTAGGGTGTCTTTCTTTCCAACACACGATTTCAAGATTTTGATTTCGAAGAAAGTATAATAATACCAATCCCTTTTATCTTCGTCCCAATTGATTTTTGACGGCCCTGTTTCGTGAACTTATCCTCGAGAGTCAAGAGATTTTTATCCTATAGATGATGATTTTATTTTTATAAAAATGTTAAGCTTTGATTTTCGATCGTTTCGATGATGCAATCGAGCCAATACTCATTTTAATATATTTATAATATGATAATACCCGATTGAATGGGATTCAATTAACCGATATTCGACGATGAATCAATAAATCCCTTAATAAATTCAAAATCCAATTTTCATCCTCGATTATACAAATGAACTTGTGCTCCAAGGAAAATTAAAAAGAATAATAATAAAAAAAAGGAATCTAAACTTTTCCAAAATCAATATCGAAACGATAATGGACGAATCGTTCGGTCGATTTCAACTTAATTTACAATAGAAACACTTCTAATTACATCGAACGATCCCTTTCCAATACAAAGCCTCGAAATTAAAAAAAAAATCCTTTCTTTTTTACCAAAAGAAATAATTTTGATCGAGATGAAGAAAGATAAAGTAAGAAAGAATAAAATTTAATAGATGGAAATAGGAATAAACTACGTTGTACAAACGTGCCTTTGTTCTACTATGTCGCGCGATGGAACGAACAAAACAGAATCAAAACAGAGCTCCCAATTCACGTATGAATATATAACATATACGAGCACGGAATTCCACCTTTTTACACGTATATAATAAACTCGACACACGATCGTAAAAATGTTCACGGTTAAACAACAAGCAGTACACTCTCCCCCTTTTGAAACGTCGTTTTGCCCCGTATCGATACGACTTTCGATTCTCCAGATATCGGAAGCGAAGATATCCTCTAGCTCTTTGTCTTTCTCCGCCTTCTTCCTTGACCCACCTCAACGCTTGCCACGTGCGCCGTGGTCAGAGACGCTGAGTCACCCCCCACCACAGCGATTCGCGGAAAAACTGTAGGCCACGACGTTTTCCTCGAATTCCATTCGACTCGACTTCGAACAGGTTTATAATTCGAAGGATTGTTGGTTCTTGGAAACCGATCGATATGAAACAAAGCATACAGTTTCTGTAATAATAAAATTCCTTTGAATACGTTTATTTGGAGTTTCTTAGGTTTTGGAAGAGGTTTTGAATAGAATATTTGGATTTTTGAAAATTGACAAGTAAAAATGGATGCGAAAGATTTTGCATTGGAAAGAATGTTTTTTTGCATGGAGGAAACATTTTTTTGAAGTAAACGATAGGTTAGAAAGAGGGGGCGAGATAAGAGGGGAGAATGCCA